GGGTTGTCCTTGTTGTTTCAAGCGGAAACGGGGGCGGGCGCTGCCTCATCCTTGCCCTCGCCCTCGCTCTCGCCCCCCGCGATGATGCTGATCGACGACGGCTCTCCCTCCTCCGCCGCCACCGCGTTCGCCTTCGTCTTGGTGTCGTCGCCGTCCCCCTGCGGACGGACGCTGCGCGGACGTCGACGGATGGGCAGGCGCGCCCACGTTTCCTTGCGGCAGGCGGGACAGCTGACCCACTTGCCCGTCGTCTCCTCCTCGACTTCTTCGACCTCTTCGACCTCTTCGCCTCCCGCCGAATTCCGTTGCTCCTCTTCGTCTTCGCCGATGTCCCCGTCGTCCTCGAGCCCCTCGTCGTCGGCCTGGAAGTCGCACCCGACATCGCCGGACTCGATGCGCATGCTGGTACACAGGCAGTCGAGATGAACCTGATGGTGGCACGGCGCGAGGTCGACCAGGCGCGTCGACATCTCCTCGGTCTCGTCGTTGAGCGCAGCGTGTCGGCGATCCGCGCCGCTCGTCGACTGGACGGGAGCCGGGTAGCGCGGCAGGCAGGCGGGCGCGTCGCACCGCCACCCGCGCTGGCGCTCGCGCCGCCGCACCTCCTCTCGCAGCGTCGTCCGGGTCGAGGCTGCCGCCGCCTCTTGGCCCGCCAGCTTGCTCCCAGACGACGCCGTGGCGAGCGTTGGCGTCGGGTGCGCGGCGTCGAGCGAGGCCCGGCAGAAGGGACACGTCCACTGGCTGGGCGGCGTCTTGGCGAGCCAGTCGCGCAGGCAGCCAGAGTGCAGGCTGTGGTGGCCGGGACACGGCAGCGCCACCACGGCCTCATCCTCGCTCCTCTCGCCGCCAATCCACTCGGGGCGGTCCTCTTCCTCGTAGTTATCCAGGCACACGCCGCAGCCCAGCAGCGCATCGCCTTCGCCGTCGCCATCGCTGCCGCCCCCGCCGGCAAACGATCCGACCTCGCCCATGTGCAGCCGGGCCATCCTCGACCGCAGCTCGGCGTCGGCGCGCTCGAGAGCCTTGACGTACGCCTTGGCCTTTTCCGGATCCGGCCGCTCCGGCTCGGGCGGCGCGCCGTTCGGGACAAAGTGCAGGTCGAGGAGGATGCGGAAGGGCGGGCCGGCCACGAGTCGAGGCTGCTGGTCTTCTGCTGCCGCACCTGCGCCTCCCGCCGCTGAAGCGTCGGGTCCAGGTCCGCCCGGAGGGACACCTGGGACGACGTGGGCGATGGGCCAGGCCGTGGCGGTGGGTGCGTCGTAGATGAAGCTGAAGGGGAGCGGCGATGCTCCGAGCGGGACAAAGAGCGGCGCACGTGGGACGTGGCCAGCGGGGTGCGGCATCGACCCCGTGTCCTCCATGCCGGGTGCCGGCGTAGCGTTGGTTGCTGGGTGACCCTGTGCTTGTTCTTGGTTCTGCTGACCTGCCTGGCCCTGCTGCTGTCCCTGCGCCGGCGCTTGTCGATTCGCGGGTGCGTGCGGCAGAGGTGTCGGATGGAAGGCGAGCATTGCCGGGTTGCCGTCGGGGCCGTTGAAGGGCATGCGGAAGTAGAGGACGGGAGGGGGCCCGGGTGCGGCCGCCTGCCCTTGCTGGGGCGCCGTACCTTCTGCGCCGGTCTCGGATGCAGTGGTGCCGGAGGTGGCGTTGCCCGCGGGTCGTTCGTCCGGCTGCTGCTGCTGCGGCTGCGGCTGTGATGCGTCGCCGCCGGGTACCATGCTGCGCATGCTGTGGAGCACCGAGGTGAGCAGGTGTGCTAGGCCGGTCTGCGCGGGTGATGGAGCTGCTTCGTCCCGGCCTTGCTGAGCTGGAGCGTCGACCTGGCCTGCAGATGGCGCTGAGGTTGTCGTCGTGGTGGGAGCTACTTCGGGCGGGTCTTCTGCCGCGTCGGCTACGGTCGGGGCTGTCGCAGCCGTGGCATCGTCGACCGACTGCTCGGCCGGCGGTGCGTGCGGCGGCGGCGGCGGCGTTGGTTGCGATGGGGTCTCTTGTGGCAGAGAGGCAGCGTCTGACGGCGACTGCTGCGGGGCTGCCGGTGCTGCCGCGGCTGCGCTGGTCGATGCTGGGCCTGATGCGGCGGCGTGGTGGTGCTGCTGCGGCTGCTGGTGGTGGTGTCCGTCTCTACCTTCTTCTGCGGCGAGATCCATGGAGTGATCCTGGAGCGAGGCCGAAGATGAGGACCCGGAGATGCTGCCGCCTTGGCCGTCGCTGCCGTCGAGGGGAGAGGGCGGGGATGACTCCTGTAGCGGTGATGCACCGTGGTCGATGGTTCTGCGCAGGGTGGGCGGGTAAGGGGATGCTGAGCCTGATTCGAGTGCGACGCCGGTGCGTGCCGATAGGCGCTCCTCGTGACGCTGCGCCTGGTGTTCGGGGTCCATGTCGAGGGATTGCTATGGCGTGGGTGCGACTGTCGATTGGACTGGGCGGGTGGCGGAGTGTGGGCGTCTAGGATGCGGGGTGCATGGCAGGGCAGGGTAGCGCTGAAGCTGAGGCTGAGGCTGAGCTTGCGAGTGACGTACGATGCCTGTGGGGGGTATCCTGCTGAGTGTCGAGCCGGGATGGTGGTGGTGTTGGTTGCGGGGGAGGGTGGTGGCGGCGGTGAGGGGGAGGGGGGGTCAAAGGCGAGCTTTATTCTGACCGGCGTGGCTTCGGTTGAAGGCAAGCAGGCAAGCAGGCCAAAGCACACCGGAGATTAGATGAGGTGCGCCCGCGCTGCCAGGCCCCGCGCCCGATTTCGCACAACGTGGCAGGCAGCCTCGTCAAGCGGGCCGGCCGGCTGCGCCTTCTCGCACCTTCTGCGGCACCGCCTCGGCTTCCTCCGCGCCGCGCCTCGCCGCGCCTCAGCACCATTCTCCCCCCGCATTACCAAAGCCACCGCCGCCACGTCTTTCCGCGTCGCCGCCCCTCGTTCAACGACCCACTCTTGCTACGGCACCGCACCGCGATACACACCAGTCTGGCTCGTATGCTCGCCAACATCATCCTCGAACGCCACCGCCACCACCCCACCCCAGACGACCTTCAACGCATCGCAGAGTCGAGGGGCGGCCTCGGTCGATACGAATCGCCATTCATGACGGCCTTGACTCGGACTTCGACCATCCCACCGACTCGCTCTTCGCCCGCACCACCCACGCGTACTCGCGCGCCGCTCGGCTGACTTCACGGCACGACAGAGGCCGAGACGGGACCGCGACATGGGGCGAGACTGCAGCGCCCTTCAGAGCGTCGAAGGCCGTCCTCGACTTCGAGCCAAACCGCAGCTGTCATCCGCCTTGTTGAACCAACAACCGTAGGGCAAGCAACCGACCGCATGCCACGTCAGACAAATCGCTAGAGTGTCTCGCTCGGGCTTCTCACCTCCAGAGCCATCGACCAGCCTGCAGAGCCCTTGCGCCCGTCAGACGACCCACCGTCAACTCGTGGCCAAAGAGACAGCGAGCAGAGGCACGGTCGCGGTTCAAATCCTGGTCGAGAGGCGAGCTCGATGTCGAGAAGGACAGCTCTAGACAAGGCACGAGCGTCGATCAACGCCGGTGGGGCCGCAGCATCCGAAGCTTCAGGCTGAGCAAGCAGTTTGATCGATTTGCACGGGTGCACGTTCGAAAGAGGGTGAGCGACGGAGAAGGGAGGGTGTGGGGGCTGATCGGCTCGTATGCCACCCTTGAGCCGATACCGCAAAAGCGCCAGCCTCCTGTCCGGTCGTTACCGCGCCTTGGCCGTTCGCCTCGCACACAGACGCACCCTGCACAGCCCTGCTATCAGTTGGGACGAGAGTTACCGGTGTTGAACGTCTGGAGAGGAAATGAGGAGCCAAGGCGAGAGGACAGCGTTTCGCAAAGGGAGGACCAAGAGAAACCTGGCAAGATAGACAGCCAAGAAACTGGATAGCGATGATGTCGGCAAGACGCCATACGCGACTGGCCGGCTGACTTGCGGGGACCCAGCGTCGATCTTGTCGCATCCCGTGTGATGGCAGCCTTTGGCTCGTAAGCACGGCCATTCCGGGCGATCACCAATGAATCTTGGCAGCTCCACCAGACGAGCTGGGGAGGTCGTTCGCGGTTGGGGTGTAAATCTTGCCACCATGACCCGTGCAAAAGTCCTCCCAGGCATCTTGAAACTCGGTGGCAAGATTATTATCAGAGGTGCACACGTACGCGCGGACGACCGAAAGTCGGCGGCAGATCAAGCCGTACCAGTTCAGCACGTCAGGGAGCTTAGCCGGACCCGGGGCCTTGCACCAGGGGACTTGCGTGACATCGGCGTAAGGGGGGACAAAGTTGATGAGCTCGGCCGACGCCGACATTCCGAGCACCACCAGTGCCACGGCATTGGTGAGTGAAAGCGCTGCGAACTTCATCTGTCGGCGTCACGAGGGCGAGGCAAAGGCGAGCAAGGTCGAGCACATCGTGAGCCGGATGCGCGCGCCGAATCACAAAGGGCTGTGCGGCCCGACTCACCGTGCTGCTGATTGTTTGCTGAGGGTGCTTGGTGAAGCGGTTGGACGAGGGTCACCTTGGATGAAGAAATGGGCAATGAAGACGATGGAGACGGCGAGCGACGAGCCAGCTCTTATCCTTCTTTTCTGCCGCATCAGTTGGCGGCAGGACAGAGGCCTCGACGCAAGATCTCTGGAACAAACGGGCGAGGAGAGAGCCTCTCGGGCCCCTACCCGGCCGCCTGCACGGCATCGGCGGTCCCATCAGCGCCAAGGCCTGCTGGCACTTCATCATCCGGACTGAACGGAATGCGACCCACAACTTGTGACAACGAGCTCGCCCCACCATGCTGCACCGGTCCCGTCCTTAGAAAGCCTATTGTACGAGGGCGAATTCGTATTCAGGGCACGCTGCCTTGCAAGGCGAAGCGGGAAATGTCCTTGTCCCTCCAGACAGACAGAATAACAGCTCGAGGAGCGCCCCGGCACAGGAATGCTGCGACTACCCCGGATTCCCCGCTTGGGTCAAGCCACTTCCGCGTCGGCAAGTCAGCGCCGGCCTCGCCCAGCACGGCTGTGGCGCAATCGCGGTCGGTGGGGCCGTCGCGACCGACGACCCACCACCTCTCCGAAAGGCGGCCAGCCATTCGAACGATGACCGCGTATCAGTAGAGCGGAAAGAGACCCGCGACACTTCGTCTCCTTGGAGAATAAGGCTGGCTGACTCGGCGGCGGTGGCGACCCGGCGACGTACGCTTCTCGTCCGTCAAACCAGGCCAAGAGGCGCAGCGACGACGCCAACGGCGCCTATTGCGGCAGTCACGGCCCGATCCCTAGACCGCCAGGTAATCCTGCCCCACCTTCCTCTAACAAAGCTCCTTTGTCCCGGTGCGCAATCTCGAGGACCTGTTTCGCCGGCGGGTGGTTCGCTGCGTCTTTCACTCGTTCGGCCCCCACCCTTCGCCATTACGTTCAGTGACATCGACCCACCTGCAAAGCATCGCGCCCCCACCTACGTTCTTGCCACCCAACGACGAGAAATTAGGAGAGACGACTGTTCCTACTGTAATGCAGTCATCGGAGCGGGCGATACCGGGCCAGACTCACCTTGCTTGCTTGCAGAGGAGGAGTTGAGACATGACGACGATGATGATCGCTGATGCGGAGGATTGGAGTGGGGCTGCTTGGTACGAGCCAGCAGAAAGGAGAGGGCGATGAGGGGCAGAGAGGGGTCGGAGCAGCACGTCTCCTCCCTCTGTTATAGCTTCTTGCCCCGCTGTAGCCGTCCTTTCTGCACTCCCTAGCGGCAACTCGTCACCGACGCGGACACCAAGTTTCTCCCGCTTGGCCGACCCGCCTTGTCATCGCTTCCGCTCATCTGCACGGCCGCTCGGGGCCATCGCACAGCCACCACGCGTTCTGGAAGCTATGATGATAGAGGCGCCCACCCCATGCGGCAATGTATCGCGGGCACCCTTAAACTCTATTCTTCTGCAGACGCAGGAGCCCCAATGTACGCTCGAAGCATGTCCTTTGCCTCTCGACATCCGCTGCAGCACTGGCCAAAGCACAGGACTCGGAAATGGGTAGAGCGCCAACAGAAGGCCCATCTTTGTCACCGACGGCGACCCAGAGGTTGTTGCCTTGTCGAGGTAAGCTGGACGGGGAAGAAGCAGCGACTTGAGACAACATTGGAATTCACGCAGCCTCGCTCCCTCAGCCTGCTTCGCAAAGATATGACGGTCTCATGTGTGATTGCGAGATTGACCGAAGTCGACGACGGGGAATCGTATCAGAGAGCGCCCCTTCGGTGCCAAGGTGGGGGCGGTCCATTGTCGCACCAGGCTTCAGCGAGCAAGATAGGGAGAGCGAAGGGACCAAAACGAGGCTAGGCGAGCAGAGCCACAACAGGGGGAACAGCGAAAGCAACGCGGGCGTTCGTGCTACGCCAGGACAGGCGCAGCGAGGCCAGGATCGTGGACGAGAACTCGACCACAATGCGGCTCCTTGTGGCATCGTTCGAAGAGGTCGATGTAGATCAGCGCGACCGCCACAGTCAATGTGCATGGACCTGGGCGCAGGTGTCGCCGAGGTCGGGGATGCTGAAACGGCTATCGACGCCGCTCATGGTGCAGGCGCACTTGTTCGCGTCGCGCGAGAGGCCGGGACACGTGTATTCGCCGGGCAGCTTGCCCCTGCTGCAGCGATTGCCGAACCAGCTTGGATTCGGCGGACCCGCGTCCCTGTCTGGCGTCGTGCAGTGCGAACCGTCGTCGTCCAAGAACTTCCAACCCTGAACGCTTGAGGTGCAAGCGAGCAGCACGAAGCTGAGCATCATCAGGACGTTGGACGATGGCCTCATCTGGTGGAGAGGTGTTCGGTGATCAGAGTGCGAGGAAGCGCGAAGACAGGTGAGCGGATGAGCCTTGCGTCTTGCGTCGCTGTGTAAGAGGAGCGAGCTTTGTGGCGCAATGCCGTAAACGAAAGAGCGCAGGGGAGAGAGCGACTGATGGTCGATCGAGAGCAAGAGAAGGGGTGGGCGCCGCTCGAAGCTGCGCTTATGTATCTACGTCGCGACTCTTCGAGGTGGATCGAGGCAGCCGCCTTGGCGTGCCGGCCCGGGTCGACACGCTGCGCTCCCTGCCAACGGGAAGATGCGGATCGGCGGTCACGCATCGCCTGCCTTGCTTCTGGCGCATCACCTACATAGCCTCGCCTCAACCGGTCGAAGACAAAGCAGAGTGGGCGACCGGCCACCGGCCCTGCCGCTGTGCTTGCCGTCCCCACCTCTCGGTTTTCTCTTTTCCCCCTCGAGGTGCAGCCTCTAGGCTCGATCCACCAGAAGGCAACGGCCAACAACGGCAGGGAGGGCCGGCAGCTGGCAACGAGCTGCGACGTGATGCGCCTCGACGACGCCCGCATGGTCTCGAGCGTTTGCGGGATGGCGGCCGAGGCCAGGTCAAGAGGGCTGAGGTCCACCCCACACCGAGGCAGATCAACTTTCTTCACTCCTTCCGAGGCTGAAGGCGTCGCCGTCGCTTGGGCGTTCCCGTCGGCATCACGGCGGACCTATGCACACCGACAGGCTCACTGCTAGGTGTGCATGCTGAGCCAGATCACATCAGACAAAGGAACAACAAGCCGGCGAACTCGTCTGGCTGAGGAGACAACGTGATGACTGGTTGGACCGACGGCGTGCTATCTAGCTGACCCAGAGACATGCTATCGGGCTTGACCGACGACATGCTGTCCGGTTCCCACCGTAATGAAGCACCGATTGCTCCGATCCTAGATCGGTCTGGTGCGAAGAGGACGGGCTCGTGACCGAGGAATTAAGCCAATGCCGGCGGTGGTTGACGGTGCTGGGGGCATGGGATGTGCATGTTGACGCTAAAGGTAGAACCCTGGCCGCGCCTGACGCAGGCGCAGTAGTTCTTGCTGCTCGTGAGGCCGGGACAGGTGTAGTCGCTCGTTGCACCAGAGGCGCCGGTGCGGACGCTGCAGCGGTGGTCGCTCCATTTGGTGATCGACGGGCCCGCGCCCGTCTCGGGGGTGCTGCAGAAGGAGCCGTTCGTGTCAAAGAACCTCCAGGCCTCGACGGACGAGGTGCAGGCCAGTAGCACCACTCCGAGAGAAAGGACGGTGAACGAGGTCTTCATCTGGTGGCGATGCGTGCAAAGGCGGGTGTCGAAAGGGTGCCTGTCAGAGAGCGGAAAGACGGACCCGTACTGCCAGAGTCAAGGAAGCGACTGGCGGCACTCACTGTGCGGCTGTGTCGCAGTGCGCGGCTGAAAGGAGCAAAAGAGGAGAGAATTTCGTTGAGCGGGGGGCGAAGTGATGGCAGAACGAGGCGGCCTTTATACGGCTCGCGCTCGCCATGGGACGGCGAGGGCGAGTCGAAAGCATGCGCTGACCTCGAACGCCCCCGGCTTGGCCTTGCCGAAGTGCGAGCACGGAGGGAGGCAAGCCGACGGGTGTTGGCTTCCGAAGTGGGTTGCGATGGGTGGGGCGTGCTGCCCGCGCCGCTGCACGGCCCCACCTGGTCGGCCGACACCGAGCCGATCGTCCCGGTCCGCTTAAGTACGTGTATATACGTACATACAGTAGGTATGAAGATGGTGCGGCTGTAGGCCAAGCCTACGGCCACCGGATCGCAGCCCGTGGGAATCGAAGATGACGCGGGGTACACGGGACGGCACCGTGGAGGCCATGCCGCGCTGGTACGGTGTTCCGACGTCAAGCGGAGGAGATTGGGAGGAAACAGAGAAAGAGTGCGAAAAGAGACGTACGTGGAAGGCGAGGATGCTCGGCTCGGGAGGCTTGGATCCGGTGGGGAGCGGAGAGCGTCGCTATGTGTTCGACATGGGCGGCGAGGCAACAAGCCGGATGGGCTGCGGGCTACGACGAGGGCGAGGATGGGGTTGGCGTGAGGCTCGGAGCGTGTGTTCCGTCGTCGTTGCAGGGTCATCCAGCTGTCGGCGCTGGGATGGTGGCTGGGAGGGTGGCTATGATGGTGGCCAGGGGCAATGTTATAACTGTATCGGGCGACATCCGGAGTGGTGGCGGTGAGGGAGCGAGGGCGAGGACGAGGTAGGCGGTCGTGGAAGGTGTGCCGTTCGCCTGGCCAGGGGGTGTGGGCCAGCTGCCAGCCAGCCAGCCAGCCGGCGAGTGCATGCAGGGTCCACGCGCCAAATTGGGCGTTGGCGGCCAGGCTACCTGCCCTAGCCTGCCTGTCTGCCCTGCCTTGCTTGCTTCTTGCCGAGCTTCAGGGGCTTGGCTGCCTGCCTTTGCGTGCGTGGTGCCCGCCTCTTTGCACCCCTGCGGGCATCGAGCCAGCCAGCCGGATGGGATGGCCTCGTCATGCTGGCCTGCTGGCCTGTCCGGCTTCGTTGTCGATGGCCCGCCTGGCTCTCCTCCTTCCGACCACCACCATCACCACCACGGTCATCCCATCTCCTGGACGGACAAAGTCTGCCACCCGGCTCGCTCCAATAACGATACTCTGCTACGACCCTCGATTACGACCCACCCAACGCCCCCGCCACGACATCGACAACGACAACGACATCAACAACGACCCCCCCTCTCTCCGCAAAGCATAATACCCTACCAGCTCGACATCCCTGCTGCCGCCCTGGCAACCATTCCATACCCCACCTTTGGCAGCGCTCCGCTCGCCAAGCGCCGCTCACCATGTCGTCCATCTCCAACCGCAGCCCCACCCTCCTCTTTTCCTATCCATCCACCCGCCTCGTAAAGACCGTCGCACCCCTGCCGCCGCCCAAGCGCATCAACGGCGCCGTCCCAGCCGACTCGATCGGCGCAGGCACCCTCGCTCCCACCCACGCAGTCCTCGCTGACTGCAACGGCCCCCTCCAGATCACCGTCGTCCCCGACCCCTTCAACGAAAGTATCTCCACCCTCGTCCTCTCGGTCGGCTTCGACGAGCAACAGTGGGGTGCGGCCAGGCGCTTTGTCCTCCCCTTTCGCTCTTTTGAGCTCGGGCAAGACGGCGCACCCCTCTCGCGTCCCAACGTCGCCGGCTTCGACTCGGCCGCACGCCCCATCTACCAAGGCCTCGGCGCCGGCCTCCACGGCCAGCACGGCGGCAGCTTCTGGTTCTTTGAAGATATCGGCGAGGAGGGCGCACTCGACCGGCAGCGCTGGGAGGAAAACAAGGTCGGAAGGCGTGCAATCTGGACCGTCTGGCTCCTCGGCGCCCCCGCTCCCGTCGTCGACTATGCCCGCGACCTCCTCCTCCACCATCCGAAGCCCGTCCCTCCGCTCCCTCCCTTCCTCCGCGACCCTGCCGCCATGCCGTGGAGGGACAACTACGCAACATTGCCGCTCGCCAACTCGGAAGCTGCTACCTTCGACATCGCCCAGCAGCCGCAACAGCATCAGCCCGACGGCAATCTCGAGCAGTCGCCCACCGCTGCGGCCGACGTCGACGTCGACGTGGATGTCAAGCTGGCAGGCCCGCGACCCTTGCCCCCCGTGCCAAAGAAGCCCGAGGTGCTTCGCAGCGTCTCTTTTCCCCGCCGACAGCCGCGGTCCGATGGCAGCGCGGGCACCGTTGACGCCGACGCCGCCGCTTACACACCCGTGTCGCCGGCAACAGAGGAGGCACCGATGCTGCACCCTGTGGCGGAAGCTGCGTCGGCAACTCCGCAGGTGGACCAGCCCGAAGACCCGCGTCCGCAGCCTCTCCGCGCCATCTCCCAGGAGTCGCCGCTCCCTCATGGCCACCTCACGCCCAACGGCCAGCTCGACCGCTACGACCGCATCCGCGCCGAGACCGATGAGCTCAACGCCGCCGTCGGCGAGGCACCTGCCCTGCAGCTGCCCGAGCCTTCAACAGCACCGGCAGAGGCCCAAACCCGTTCTGAGCCTCAGCTCGATGCAGCGGCCGCGACCCAAGACCAGTCTACCGCACAGCCGGTACCGGGCACCACGCTGCGCAACCTCTCCCGCCATCTGCCGTCCCGCGCGCCCGACTACCGTCACAGCCTGATCGCCGTCGACAACGAGACTGGCCAGATCGTCGGCGTGCTGGCGTCCGACGTACGCCTCGATCAGCAGTCGGCCACGCCGCCCCTCTCGCCTACCAGGAGCGACGATGCGGCACAAGAGAAGAAGGACGACGAGCGGGACGAGCTGGACGAGCTGGTCACGCCGGTCGATGAGGTCGACCTCGGTGGCGGTCTACGCGAGGATCTGCTAGACCAGGGCCTACAGCAGAAACAGGAGGCGGAGGAGGACTCCCGCTCCGAGTCGGACCAGGCGACTCCCAAGCCTTCCGCCTTCATTCATCGGCCCACATCCCTCTACCGCGATCCCGACCACGGGCGCCAGCCGTCGCGCTCCGAGAGTCTGTTGGGCGACGACACCTTCGCACCACCTCCGCCGCCGCCGAAGGCCGGAGGAAAGCCCGGCGACGCCTCGCCATCAGCCAGGACCAGCGTAGCGTCTGCCGCCTTCTTCAGCGCCAACGAGGGTCTCGAAGACGACGGTGACGACGACGACGAGGCGCGCGCGAGGCGAGCAATGATGGCCAACTTTGTGTCGATCGGCGGCGGCGGGGACGCTCACCGCATCGAGTCGCATCGGCCCGACCTGCTTCGGGATCTGATTCGCCGCAATGCCCACGGTGAAGGCGACGACGACGACGATGCTCGCAGCGACGTCAGCGGAACCACAGTGGGCGGCCCAGCCTTCAAGATGTGGCGCAAGGTGCGCGGCAAGCCGCCGAAGAAGAAGAAGCATCCGCAGCCGGCCGTCGACGCGCCTGCTGGCCCCACCACCGCCAGGCCGCCTCGCGTCGGCTCAGAGGCCAGCGTCAGGACCTCGCGAGCCGAGACGGCCGCCGAAAGCATGAGCGACGACGAGGACGACGAAGACGACGAGGAAGAGACGGCATCGCGAGGCGCGGAGCAGGACACGGAAGAGGACGACGACGCCGCCGCCCGTGACGCAGAGACGGAAGGAGAAGACGGAAAAGGCGGAGAAGAGGACAGCAAGCGGGCTGACAGCGACGGAGCGGCGGCAGCAGGCGACGCGGCGGTCGAGGAGGCGCGGAGGCTGGGCCACTGCTCGCGCGCCCAGCTGCGCACGGAAGACGTGCGGACCATCGAGGACCGGGTGTGGCGCGAGGCGCTCGAGTCGGGCGACCTGCCGCTCGACGCTCCCTACACGCACCTCGCAGCTCGGGGCGGCGTGGGCTCCACCTTCCTGCCTTCGTTTGTCGGCAAGGGCGCCGATCGAGCTGCGCCGCAGGAGTTCGAGCTGTGCGCACCTGGCGAGGTGCCCGTGGTGCGCCAGGGCGGCAAGCGCGCGCCGGCTCCGTACATGCAGGGCGGCACGGTTCTCATCGAGTTTCTGGCGGGCTCGAGCCGGATCGGTGCCAGCCTGATTGGCGGACCCAGGCCGCTCGCACTGCGCGGCGGTGATGATGCCGACGGCCCCGCTGCCGATGGTGTTGCCTCCTCGGACAAGGGCGGTGCCAGCGCTGGCGTGCTGAGCCTGGTGCCGCTGCTGCCGCAGCACCTGCTGCGTTTCTTTGGCATGTCGAGCGCAGTGGCGCCCTCTACTGCGGCGACGTCCATGAGCGCCGCTGCCTCGTCGCCACCGTCTTCGCTGGCGGGCTCGATTCCGTTCCTGTCGGACGTGGCCAGCCTCTGGACCGACGCGACGGGCTGGATGGGCGGCCTGTTTTCCTCGTCGTCGTCGTCTGCTGCGAACTCGACGTCGAGCGCGAGTGCGGCATCATCGTCGTCGTCGTCGTCGATGACCGGCGGCAACGATGGAGGTGCGCTGCCGCAGCGTCACCCCCACTCGGAGGCCGAAGAGTGGGAGTACGCGATCCCGGACTTTGACCCCAACAGCCTGGCCTCTACGCCTCGGCCAGTGTATCGCCGCAAGAGGCCCGTCCCTTCGGCCACCAACGGCTTCAGCATGCCCGGACAGCAGCAGCCGTCGTCGAGCACGTCGACGTCGAAGCGGGTGGAGCCGATGTCGTCAGTGACGGGTGGCAGCGGGCGCTACTCGATCCTGCACATTGACGGCTATGGCGTGGGGCGGCAGGCGTTCCTGCGTGGCATGCCGCAGCGTTGACGTGGGGCAGCCCGTCGTTGCTCTCTCTCCCTCCCTATCCGGCATCCTCTTTGCTGCTCCAGCATCGTATCGCATTGCGCTTATTGCCAGCGGCCCCGTTTCATGATGCCAGCCACCTGGTCTCCACAGCCGGCAGCTTCTCAGCTCCCCATTTCACCATTATTATTTCCGCCTTTCTGGACAATTCATCGAGCTACCCCTGACCCCTCTCTCCCAAGGCCGTCCTCGCGGGTGCCGCGTGTCAATATGTTGGGTGACGACGGGATAAGGCGGCGTCGCGGGCGCGGAGGCAAGAGGGTAGAAGTTTGCCTCTACGCCGGCGGCAGCGGCGGAGTGGAAAAGAAGCTAGGGCGGGTGGCGTCGGAAGTCGGTGTTGGTCTCGAGCTCAAGCAAGATGGCTTGGCTGGTGGGGCCGCCTCGCTCGTCTGGGCCAGGCCTGGGCAGGCAGGCAGGCAGGGTATCATCACCCTGCAGCCCTGGCTGCGCCGGGCTGGCCTGTGCAGATCCAGCCCCCTAGGGGAGATTTCGGATGGCGTGGCCTGGCCTGGGGGCTGGGCGGGGCTGGGCTGGAGAGCAACACAACACAACACGCACGCACGCACGCGCGCAGGCGAGGGATTTTCGACTCGCAGCCCCCACAGCCGGCCGACCAGGCGGGCAGGCAGCCAGACCAGGGGAAGCAGACAGGCACGCATGCAGCGAACCGGCAGAGGGCCGGGCGAGGTGAAGGCGAAGGCGTCGAAAATGGCGCAGTCCAACCGAGGCCAGGTAGGCCAAGCAACGGCAGGCAAGGCAGGGCAAGGCAAAGCAGGCGGCCCCTGACTTTCTGCGATCCATCGACGACGAAAGGCCCTTTTGTGCCCCTTGCCCGCCGCCTAGCTTGTCCTTGGCTGGCTGGCTTGCTTGTTGGCCGACCCCACCTCGTCTTGGCCTCCTCGAGTCGAGCAGCGCCCCCCTCTCTGCCCTCATCCACCCCCTGAGCCTCGTCTCGTCTCCACAGCCATCACCTCGTTTGGCACTCTGCACCTGCTTCCTGCGCTCACCACCACCACCACCACGGCCACCATCGACCACCACCGCCACCCACGCATCGCAAGCTGCTCCTTTTCAACCCACTTCATCGACGGATCCGACCCCTCGTCCACCTCGACGCCCTCTCTCGAGGTCCAGGCTGAGGCTGCAGCCCAACAGGTCCAGGACAGGTGAGTGCGTTCGCCAGCCCGACATCGGCCATCGCCGCCGCCGTCGTCCGCTTGACCTTGCTCCTAAACCCATTCACTCCCCTGTTACACCCCCCGCGAGCGTACAGTCCAGATCCACTGCTGCCTCTGCCGCAATGAGCGACAACAGAGACATACCGCCGGGCGCAGCGCCACCCCCTGCCCAGCGCCACCGCACCGACAGCAGCGACAGCTTCCACTCCCAAGAGGCCTCGCTCAGCACCACGCCTACCCAGAGCCACATCCAGGGCCTCGGCCATGCATCCACCGCATCGTCATCGACTGCCGCCGCGGCAGTTTCGGGCACCGTCCGCAACGCCCCAGCAACCGCCGCAAGCGTCGACGCACCCGCCGCCGCGCAGTCCTCGCCCCTCGACCTCGAAGCGTGGCAGCGCTCCATCCACCCAGCCTCGTCCGCCTCCGAGCAGAGCCGCCCCGGATCAGCCGTCCAGCGCGTCTATCGAGACCCTAGCCTCGAGGACAGCAGCCACGTTGCTACGATTGGCCGAGGTCAGCCGCCCCCGCCCTCGTCGGCTGGGGGTGCAGGCCCAGGCACGCCCAGGCCGGCCCTCTCCCGGCCGCAGAACCCGGACCGCGACACGTCCCAGTCGCAGCGCTCCGTCAGCTATGCACCCTCCGACTTTGACACCGTCTCGGGCGCCTCCGTCTCCGAGTACAGCTCCGGCAACGAGGACGACCAGGAGGCCATGTCGCGGTCAGTCACCAGCCGCAGTAGGGGTAGAATGCCCGATCATGGTGCACGCCAGGTCAGCGCAGCTGGCAGCCGCAGCGGAGGCGGAGGAGGCACCGGCGGAGGAGGCGCTGGGCGATACGTCCTCGACACTGCCTCGCCGGCTGCGCAGCAGGGCACCGGCAACAAGGGCGGCACACGGCGTCCCTCGGCGACCAACACGACCCGCGACAGCAGCCGCACTCGCCGACACAGCCAAGCACCCCGCGGCGGCGACCGAGGCTACGCCAACGACGACGGCGACGACACTGACGACCGCTACGGTCCCCTCGACGAAGAGGACGACGAGGTCGAGATCCACGACCGCGGCGAGGAGCTCGTCCGCCGCCGGATGAAGGCCCGCCAGCGCGAAAAGGCGCTCCGCAAGAAGCGCGAGAAGCAGGCCGAGCGCGAACGCAACCGCCAGTCGCAGGTGCCGTCGCAGGCGCAGTCGGTCACGTCGCCCGGCTCGCCCCGTCTGGGCCCGGGCTCGGGCTTCTCGGCGGGCAGACCGGTCTCGCCCTCGCCGCGCCTCGATCGCGCAGGCAGGCCCTCGACCATCATGCTGCCGCCATCGGCCGGCTTCCAGAGCCTTCAGCACGGCGCGCTGTCGCCGGGCTCCCAGCCGCCCCTTGCCAGCCCTGGAGGCGGGCCGCGCTCCAGCTACGCGCCCAGCTACCCGTCGCCTCACGCCCATATCCGCAGGCCGAGCGCGAGCTATGCCACCACTTCTTCGTACGGGCAGCAGCAGCAGCAGCAGCAGCAACAGTACCAGGCTTCCTTGCAGGGAACACCGAGCGGCGCTCGCACCACCTACTACGGCGGCGGAGGTCAGCAGGCGGCCAGCCTCGACGTCTTCGCCGAAAGCTTGCGTCCACGATCGGCCGCGGGCAAGGCGTCGACCGATGCCGGGTCGAGCGTGGCCGGTAGCGTCCGCGAATCTGGCGAGGGCGAGCACGAGGGTGGCGATGACGACGACGAGGAGCGCGATACGATTGTCAGCCTGGCCGACCGCCGGGGCCAGCGCGAGACCGACGACGAGCACAACGGCGAGGATCGCGGCTATGGCGACTACGACGGAGCAGACGGCGGTGATGGCACGCCCACCGGCCGACGCCAGCGCCAGGACGGCGGGGAGGAGGGCCAGCTCGACGACGAAGACGACGACGACGACGACGAGGACCTCGAGGACGGAGACGACGTCGAGTACACGCTCAAGGACCGGCAGGACGCCATCAACGTCGAACACCCCTTTGGCCTGCCGATCTGGAAGCCCGCGCTATACAAGAAGTCGCGCTCGGTCACGCGCAATGCCGAGTCGGCGCTCCACCTGATCCCCAGCGCGGCCGCCGAGCGCCACCTGCTGCCCGGCAACATCCTCTGGACGGTCTTCTTCGGCTGGTGGCTCGCGGCCGTGTGCTACGTGTGCGCCATCCTCATCAACTTTGTGCCGGTCGGCGGTTCGCGCTACGCCCGCGTCATCTGGGAGCTCGGCGGCTACCTCTTCTGGCCGTTTGGCAAGTACGTCGAGGTCGAGGTGGACCCGGAAAGTGCGGACCGCAGCCTGCCGGCCGGCGAGTTCCGAGCCCAGGCTCGCCAGGCGTCCGACGGAGCCTACGAGACGGTGCCGCCGTCGGCGGTCGACCAGACCTTCGAGCAGCAGCAGCAGAGGCAGGCGTCCGAGAACCGTTCTGCCGACACGCTCCGACCCAGCGATGCTGTGGCAGCTTCCACCACGGGCGCCGCGGGCCAGAGCGGCTCTGCTGATGAGAGCTCCTCGGGAGGCAGCGATGCCGCTGCACGCCGCTCGCTGGCCTCGGGCTCCCATAGCGGCGAGTCGAGCCGTACCTCGCACGCCGAGGATTACGGCGTGCGTGCCGACGGCAAGGCCGATGGCGATGCCGGGGAGACGACTTCGCTCAAGGGCAAGTCGAAGCTTGGCGGCGGCTACGGCGCCGTCGACGACCTGGGCGAGGACGGCGCCGATGCCCTGTCCAACTTCACAGAACAGGAGCGCATCGAGGCCGAGTCGGCCATCTACGGCTACGTGCACGACGACCACGGCAACGAGGTGGGCGTGGCGCGCCGCGCCGGCGGCAAGCTGGCATTCGGGCTCGTCTACGGCCTGGTCGTCTTTCCGCTCATGGGCCTCGTCTGCCTCGCGTGCTGGGGCGGCGTGTTCTCCATCCCGATGGCCAAACTGACCTGGGCGCTGATCAAGAACCTCGCCATGCGTCCTCTCGCGCTCCACTTCCGCTCTGCCCCAGGCATCGAGCGGCCCAGCGGCGACGAGGGCGACGACGAGGACGACGTCGGCGACCGGGCCGACGGCGGCAACGGCAAGAAGGGTGGCGCGGGGGGCGCGGCCAGGAACCTCTTCCTGCCGCTCAAGCCGGGCCAGATCGCGCCGCGCTCCAAATCGTTCAGCCAGGGCAAGGGCAAGGCCAAGGTGCACCGGCGCAGCAAGATCCTCCTGTGCACCTACCGCGCCGTCGGCTCCCAGTACTACAAGTACACCGTGGGCGGTGTCAACATCCTCTTTGTCAACACGCTGCCGCTCGTCTTCTTCACCATCTTTGACTTTTTCGTCATCGAGGCTTACGTCGAGCGCCACGGCATCCATGGCGGCTTCCTGGGCCTCATCAGCGGCCAGGGCGTCATCTTCCTGCTGGCGCTGGCGTCCGTCATCCCGCTGTCGTACTTTATCGGCATGGCCGTCGCGAGCATCAGCGCCCAGAGCAGCATCGGCATGGGCGCCGTCATCAACGCCACGTTCGGCTCCATCATCGAGATCATCCTCTATGCCATCGCCCTCACCCAGCAAAAGGCGCGGCTGGTCGAGGGGTCGCTGATCGGATCCATCCTGGCCGGCGTGCTCCTGATGCCCGGCCTCTCGATGTGCTCGGGCGCCACCCGCCGCAAGGAGCAGCGCTTCAACGCCCGCTCGGCCGGCGTCACCAGCACCATGCTCATCATGGCCATCATTGGCATCCTGACGCCGACGCTCTTCTACCAGATCTACGGCACCTTCCAGCTCACCTGCGAGGGCTGCCCGCGCGGCGGCTCGCAGCCCGGCGACACGTGGACGTGCAAGCGGTGCTTTTACGAGCACGTCGACCCGGCCACCGACCCCTTTTTCCAGCAAAACGTGCGCGGCCTCATGTACACCTGCACCGTCATCCTGGTGCTGTCGTACGGCATCGGCCTGTGGTTCTCGCTGCGCACCCACGCTTCGCAGATCTGGCAGAACCCGCAGCCCGGCCAGCCGGTGCAGCACCAGCACCAGCACCAGGCCCAGCACGGCGGCGTCACGACGGCCCACAACGTCGCTACGCTGCCCTCGGCGCAGCGAGCCTCGATCTACAAGCGCCTCGTGCCGCCCTCGGTCATGCAGCAGCTCCTCCCCACCATCCACAGCAGTGGCGGCGCCGGCCAGCACGGCGGTCACACTCAAGGTCAGAGCCAGGGCAGCCAGCAGGCGCGTCCGCCGAGCCAGATCAGCTATGGTGGCAGCGCCGGGCAGGGGACCATCAAGGGCGGTCCTCCGCAGCAGCAGCAGCAGCAGCAGCAGCAGCAGCAGCAGCAGCATCGCGGCGATGCCGGCCACGGCCATGGCAGATCGGCCACCGGCAGGACGGCATCCGAAGCGGCCAACAACGACGCGGGATCGCAGCTGCGCGTGCCGGAGCAGTTCAGCCGCGAAGAGTACGAGCGCGCCGTCGCCCTCACCGCCAGCGCCTTCCACACCGCGCTGCAGCAGGACCGCGAGCAGCGCGCTGCCGCTGCCGCCGGCGGCGGCGCCAGGCAGTCGTACCCGCAGGCCGACG